GGATTTATGAGATACAGTATAAGAGAGTATGTACCCAAACCAATGAGATGTTATAATTGCCAGGAATTTGGACATATGGCTAAGGTATGTAAAGGAAAGAGGAGGTGTGCTAGGTGTAGTGGTGATCATGAATATGGAAAGTGTGGAGCGGAAGTAAGGCCAAAATGCTGTAACTGTGGAGGGAATCATAGTGTGGCATTTTGGGGATGTGAAGTGATGAAAAAGGAAGTCAAAGTACAACAGATCAAATTAAAAGAAAACATCTCTTATGTTGAGGCTGTTAAGAGAACAGAGCAGGAAAAGAAGAAACAGAGTGAAGAAAGTACAAAAAGGTTGAACAGGGAAGATCATCAAGGAAAAAGGAAAAATGGGAGGAGAAGAAGAAAATAGTGACATTTATAGCAGGGGTGATAAATGCTACGGCTGAAGTCAGGTCTAAAACTGAAAGAATCCAGATTATTGTTAAAGCAGCAATTCACCACTTAGAGATGGCAGGATTAAAGTGGGAAGAAGTGAGGGATGAACTCAGTGTACAATCGAGTCAAGAGACAACATGTATAGGGTAGTAATTTTTGTAATGCTAATCCTTCAATGGAATGCAAGAAGCTTGATTGCAAATGGGCAGGACTTCAAACAATTTATACGGAATAGAAGAGAAAAGCCAGACGTTATATGCATTCAGGAATCCTGGTTAAAACCCAATTTGGACTTTATAATATATGGATACGCATCAGTTAGACAAGATAGGGAAAATGGTGGTGGAGGGGGATGTGTTACATTTATAAGACAAGGGATTTCGTATAGGGTGTTAGGTATAGGAAAGGAACAAGAATATGTAGTGGTAGAAATATGGAGTGAAAGGAAAAAAATTGTAGTTATAAATTATTACAATCCGTGTAGGAAATTGGATATAAATAAACTTGAGGAAATAGAGGGGAAAGACAATAATAATATTGTATGGTGTGGGGACTTCAATGCGCATAATTCATTGTGGGGTAGTGAGAAGATGGATAGTAATGGACAAGTAATTGAAGAGTTATTGGATGAGGAAAACCTAGTATGTTTAAATGATGGAAGTAAAACAAGGATAGAGGTTAGTACGGGGAAGGAATCTGTACTTGACCTTACACTGGTGTCTAGCAGTATGGCAGCGATATGTAATTGGAGTGTATATAAGGATGGGACAATAGGAAGTGATCACTACCCAGTATTATGTAAAATTAATATTTCATTACCTCAAAGTGTAGAGGAAAGAGGAGGAAGATGGATATTTGAGAAGGCTAATTGGGAACATTTTCAAAGAGAAAGTGATAGAAGTTTGAGCCAGATTGAGTCTAGTGATGATATAGAGACAATGGAAGATAAAATAAAGAAAGGTATAATAGCAGCGGCAATGGAGTCTATTCCAAAAAGTAAAGGTAAGGTAATGAGGAAAATTATACCATGGTGGGATGAGGAATGTAAAGAAGCAGTCAGAAATAGGAACAAAGCATTTAAAATAATGAAAAGAACTCATAATTTCAGGCACATGATTCAATATAAATATGCTCAGGCAATAGTAAGGAAAACAATTAGACAGGCAAAAAGAACATATTGGAGGAACTTTTGTAGTTCAATCGGGAATACAACTCAGATTGGAGAGGTGTGGACAATGATTAAAAAGATGGGTGGTGAAAGGAGAGAATGGAGTTACCCAGTTTTGAGTAGTGGAAATGAAATTGCAGTGACAAATAAGGAAAAGGCTGAAATGTTAGCAAATACATTTGTCAATGTGCATAGCTCTAATAATCTATCTGAAGAAGGGAAGAGAGGCAGAGAGAAGACAAAATCTGAAAATGTAGAGATATTAAGGAAGATGGGAAAAGTAGAGGATGAACAAAATGTACTTTTTAACATGGGAGAATTAAAGAGAGCAATGGCCAAAACTGGGAAGACTGCGCCAGGGAAAGATGATATATGTTATAGCATGTTGAAACAGTTAAGTGAGGAGGGGAAGAATAAGTTATTGATGCTATATAATAAAGTGTGGGAGGAAGGGAAAGTACCAAAGAGCTGGAAGGAGGCAATTGTTGTGCCGATAAGGAAACCTGGGAAAGAAGCTAGTAAACCTACAAGTTATAGACCTATTGCTTTGACGTCTCATGTCTGTAAATTAATGGAAAGAATGATAAATGAAAGGTTAATGTATTTTATGGAGAAAAGAGGCATGGTAGTTGAGTGTCAAAGTGGGTTTAGAAGAGGTAGGAATACTATGGATGCAGTATTGTGCTTGGAAGATAATATAAGAAAAGCACAAGTAAATAAAGAGACAGTAGTGGCAGTATTTTTCGATGTAGAAAAGGCATATGATATGCTATGGAGAGAGGGACTAATGATTAAATTGTATAATATGGGAATTAGAGGAAATTTTCTTAACTGGATAAAGGATTTTCTGGAAGGAAGAACAATACAGGTTAAAGTAGGAGCAGACCTATCAAGTGAACATGTTATTGAAAACGGAACTCCTCAGGGGAGTGTTGTAAGTCCCACATTATTTTCAGTAATGATTAATGATATATATGACAATATACCATTAGGTATGGGAAGATCACTTTTTGCGGATGATGGGGCAATTTGGAAAAAAGGAAGAAATATAGAATATGTAGTTAAAAAAATTCAAGAAGGGATTCAGCAGGTTGAGGAGTGGGGAATAAAGTGGGGTGTCAAATTCTCTATAGAGAAGACTAAAGTAATGTTTTTTACAGGGAAGAAAATCAAGGAAAATACTAGTATAAAACTATATGGAAGTAACCTAGAGAGAGTTAAAGCATTCCGTTTTTTAGGAGTATACTTCGACACAAGGTTAACATGGGTAGAACATGTCAGAAATGTAGAAGATAAATGTAAAAAAGTAATAAATTTAATGAGATGTTTAACAGGATTAGAATGGGGAGCAGATTATAAATCACTGAAATATATATATGTAAGTTTAATGAGATCAAGGATGGATTATGGAAGTGTGGCATATGGATCAGCAGCCAAATCTATACTTAGGAGACTTGATGTAATACAGGCTAAAGCATTAAGATTATGTCTAGGGGCAGTTAAAACATCACCAGTATGTGCTCTACAGGTGGAAGCGGGAGAAATGCCATTGAACATCCGACGTAAACAATTACTTGTAAATTATTGGGTAAATCTAAAAGGGCATGGAGATAACCATCCAGCTAAAATAATAGTACAAGATAACTGGGAAAGAGAGAGAGCACAAAAGTTCAGTTTTGGGTGGATTGGAGATGAGGCGGCTAGAGAATTGGGAGTGTATGAAAAGGAATTCTGCCCAACTGTAATATGGCCTGATACACCGATATGGAAGCTAGAAACCATGGAAGTTGATTTTAAACTACTTCAAGTTAAAATAGTAAGTAATAGTACAGATCTGGTAGCGGAATTTTATAGACATATAGATATTAAATATAAAGAGTATATTCAGATTTATACAGACGGATCAAAGGACCCAGAAACAGGAAAGACTGGATCTGCAGTTTACATTTTTAATCAAAGAGGTGAGATAGCCAGACGAACCACAAATGATTTGAGTGTGTATGCAGTTGAATTATATGCTATTAAGATGGCGCTAGAATGGATTGAGGAAAACAAAATTAAAAAAGCTTTAATTGGAAGTGATTCAGTGTCAGCCTTATACAGTCTCATGGTTGGAATATCTAATAGTCATCAGGATCTACTGTATTCAATACTGATAATATACACAAGAATAAGGGAAAAAGGATGTGAGATTCAATTGATTTGGATTCCTGCTCATATTGGCATTGCGGGTAATGAGAGAGTGGATAAGTTAGCCAAACAAGCTGTGAAAAGAGAGAATATTGAAGAAAATATTAAGTTATCAAAATCTGAAGGAAAGAGTATAATATGGAAGGAAGCCATTGGAGAATGGCAACATCAGTGGGATATGGAAATTAAAGGGAGACATTTATATGCTATACAAAGTAAAGTTGGGGCGGTGAAGAATAAGGGAGGGAATAGAAAAGAAGAAATAGTTATGACCAGATTAAGGATAGGTCACAGTAATTTGAATGGAACACTACACATTATAGGGAAGCACCCAACTGGATTTTGTGGTTGTGGTCAGGTTACTGAAACAATAGAGCATGTGTTTTTGAGGTGCAGACAATATGAAGAGCAGAGGAAAAGTATGATGGAAGAGTTAGGAATAGTTGGAACAATAGGGATAGGAATGAAGGAAATACTGGAAAATGGGGAGAATGAACAAAGAAGAAGAAGTATTTTTTTATATTTATCAAGAATAGGTATGATGAAAAGAATATGATGTAACTGGACATGATAGGAAAAAAAATCCGGAAGATGGCGGTAGTGCAACATTTATGGATGCAAGCTGCCGATAAACTCCAAAGAAGAAGAAGAAGAAGTTTAGTCAACAAAATCACACAAATAATAGATTCAAACGTTCCCGACACCCTTCTTACGTGTAATTAATACGCTTCTGCTGAATATTTACTTTATAGAAATGGTTTTGTGTCTTCGAAAAAGTCTGTTAGCATCCGTTTTCAGAAGAGGTGAGTTAAGTTAACGTTACACTGGAGCTCTAGTTGTATATAAGCTTAGGCTTTTAACCACATCTTTGTGTTGATAACAGTTTTTAATAGTTTTGTTTTGCTGGTAATTTGTCAATGGGTGATTGGAAGTAAGCTAATTTATTTAACCTAATGTGGAACCTGATTGTGGAAGTTTTTTTTTTTTTTCATTTTTGGAAGTGTGGCACTTTATTTCTGTCATTTCTGTCAGTGTTCTGCGTTATTTCTGATTTTGATGATGAATTTTGTCTATTTTGAGTCCAATGATAAATAAATATTTATTTATAGATATTTAAAAGATATCATAAATCCTCCAAAAACTGCACAAATGTTGAGTAAAAATATTAACAAACAGTAAATTAATATTTGTTAAAAAAAAAAAAAAAATATTGTTCTGTTTACAAAATTAAATGTAATTTTTTGGGGTCCAATGGACCCCGAAGACCACGAGTTTGACTATTTTTGTCACGCCTACATAAAAACAGATAACATTCCATTTTTTATTTATTTTTTTATTTTTTTTTTTTTGTAGATCTAGAAAGTGTTGAGAGCCGTAGGACGTTTCATACCATTTTGGAAAAAGAGAAAAATTAATTCAAGCAAAAGTCATTTGGGGTCCAGTAGACCCCGAAGACAAGATGTGTGTGTGTGTGTGTGTGTGTGTGTGTGTGTGTGTGTGTGTGTGTGTGTGTATTATTTCTCTTTTCTGCATTTCACCTCTGCTCTAGCTTGCTTCCTTCCTTGTAATAAACCCTATGTTCTATTGCATATCCTTTGTAACATTGTTGGCTCTGTGACACATTGCATGTTATGTTCTAGATTCTAGAAGATCATCATGCTTGCTGATGGCCTGCTGCACTCCCTGAACAAGACAATCTCCACGGCTATGAACTCGACTAGTAAGCAAAACCTCAAACATACAGTGCACTACTGTTCAAATGTTGGGGGTCTGGAGGATTTATGCTTTTGAATGAAGTCTCACTCTTTCAATTTTTTTTCAGTGAGACTGTACTTGAGAAGCCTGTAGGCTAAATAATCAGCTAAATAATCGGCGGCAAATGTTATAATGGTCATAGTTATGATAATTAATTTAACTATTATGATAGCAGGATATCACATGGTCATTGGTATATTTTATTTTATTTCTCCAGGTGTGTTTTTAATTATGTTGGCCAATGAGACAGGCACCATACTGTCCAACGCAAAGGTATTTATTTGTTTGATGTGTTTTTTTACTGATAAATACTGAAATTCTTTAATTCAGGGGATCTTAAAGTTATGGCTATGCTCTTGTTACCAGATAGGATATAGGCATTTGACCCTGTGATTCTTCAGGACAAGATCTTGATGCCATCCATACTCGGTACATGACGAAGGTGAGTTTCGCAATTGCTGCCATTATCACAAATCAAGAGACAGAACACAACAGGCCTTCTTCCATATGAACTCACCCATATGTAGGAATGGGTACCGAAACCCGGTGTTAAACGGGCCCTGGGGTTCTGTTGTCAATCCGCGTTCACGGGTCCGCAGTGACGCCGCTGACGTGTGTCTGGTGTGTCCCGTGTATTCGGGTTCAAATAATTAGAGGAGGACTTGCATTTATCTAGCCCAGCCATGTGTCTAAATCCTTAGACATCCTTAGAACCCAGATTTGTTTTGTTTACAGCGTGCGTCTCCCTCTGACTGTAAACGAAGCTTGGGAGCACCAGACACACGTCAGAACCGGAAGACAATATAATGCTGAATAAAGTCGCAGTTTTTGTTATTTTTGGACCAAAATGTATTTTCGATGCATCAAAACATTCCAACTAACCCACGGATGTCACATGGACTACTTTGATGTCTTTATTTCCTTTCTGGACAAGGACAGTATACCGTACATACATTTTTAATGGAGGGACAGAAAGCTCTCGGACTAAATCTAAAATATCTTGAACTGTGTTCTGAGGATTACGAGCCAATGAACCAGTTTTAGTGCTGTTTAGCACCATTTTTTAGTATGTATAAGTAAAGGAGAATACATTCAGCTGATCATATAATGTACATTATTTCTGCTTGGCTTTTGGAGCCCTAATATTGTTATTTATGAAAACACTGGCTGAATTGACATTATTAGATGGCTACTTCATAGTGCAACTGACTAATAGCAGTTGAGTATTCCAGATTGTGTGTTAATGTGGTGTGTATTCTTCTCATTTTAGCTCCCGCGTCCATTTGGGCTGAAGGTCGAGACAGAACCAAACCAAAGCTGGACTGTAACCTACTGGCCACAGGACAGACTTGTTTACATTTTGATGATCTCCTTCTGTCTACATGAAGTTCTATTGCTGAATTCCCTATTATTTGTTGTTGGAAACGATGCAAGTCCCGTTCATTGTTCTCGTAAATGTTAGGATATACATTTATGCCATTTCCTGAGTGTTGAGTTGCGTTGACTTGACTGGAGTGGTTTTAACATGCACTGGATGGAGATCTCTCTCCTCTTTTTAGCACCTTAGTCACTGATTGTGTCCCTCCTAACTTAAAGCCGTGTTATTCGTTTCTTTTAGTCTCTTCTGCTGTCGTCGTGCTCTTTCTCTTACGTGCATCTCTTAGCTCGGTTAATTTCCTGTGCTCATTTCTTCACTCACTCAAACCCGTTTGCTGCTGATGTTTGGAACTTCACTGCAGTTGTTGCTGAATGAAGGAAAAGATGGATTCTGGTGGAGAGGAGGCATCTGGAGTTTGACCGAATGGGGTGAGCCGAGTGGGCCCCCCCTTCATCTTCGGCTCAATGCCCTCCTGAAGGCACAGTTCCCTGGTATATGAGCAGAACGAACATACTTGAAGAGCTAGAAATGCTCAAAGACTCTCAGTGCTTCTGTACTGTTTCTTATAGTGACGATGAAATAGTCCTTTTTTTTTTCTTTTCTTTTTTTTTAAATGAAATTAATAAACATGCTGTTTTACAATTGCAATGTGGCGTAATTGAATATTTGTGCTTCTATACAGCTGTAATGCACCCAGAGTACAGAAATGTGCTTTCACTTTTCAGATTTTATCATGCATTTGGTTATGATTTTTTGCATAAGCAAACCATTTCATTTTAGCTAAAATGTCTTGATTATATATGTGCATTTTCTCACTAGGAAAATGCACGTATAGAAAGGTGCAGACAGAAAGGTATAGACGTCCGGTTTCCTGTAAGTATGCGTTTTTTGTTAAAAATATTCATATTAACACTTCTGTTATTGTGCAGTAAGCAGTGTCATCTTTTTTAAACATTTTATCTTGGGGTTTAGACATAATATTTCTTAATGTTATTTTATAATCTGGCTTTAAGTAGCTTATTCTTAAAGGATCACGAACCCCTAAAACCCCATTATTTTATATTATATATATATATATATGTTTATATATATATATATATATATTATTATATATATATAATATATATTTATTTTATATAAACAGTTATATACAGGTTCCACACAGTAATAGCATTCAACAAGTAGAGAAGTGGAAACTTTATTTTCGCGTTTTCTGGAGCCCTTTCTGTCTTCTGGTTTGAAAAAAGCAATGCTGAAGAAATATCAGGAAATGTGAGGTATATGCTTCAGTTCGGAGTGGTTTAGACACATGGCTGGGCAAGATAAATGCAAGTCCTCTAATTATTTGAACCCGAATACACGGACACACCAGACACGCGTCACTGCGGACCCGCAACCGCGAATTGACAACAGAACCCCAGGGCCCGTTTAACGTTTAACCCTCAGATGCTCTTCGGTCATTTCTGACCGAAACATTTTCTGTTTTGAAATTTTAAAAATCACAGCTTCATCGGAATGTTACGAAACTTGGTGACTTTTATGGCATTGGGTATGTGAACATACAAAAAAATTGAGGTTATGATTCGAGCAACTTAAGTGGTCGTAAAAAAATTAGTCACACTTTTGCTCTTCTGTCAAAAATGATGACCCATAGGGAAATGAATGGGAAATTGACAAAAAAATCAAATTCTCTGAATTTTTGTGTACAATCTACAAATCGGCCACAATTCTAAAAAAAAAAAAAAAAGTACACCGCAGGAAAGGGGTGACACTCTACAACATCTAGAGTGCAAAACAGACACACCCACCAACACACACACATACAAACACACTTTTATACACATACACACCAATAAATTTTGATTACAAAAAGTATGTTTTCAATTTTTAAAAATCACAGCTTCATCGCGATGTTACGAAACTTGGTGACTTTTATGGCATTATGTATATGAACACACAAAAAAATTGAGGTCATGATCTGAGCATGCTAAGTGGTCTTAAAAAAATAGTCACACTTGTGGTCTTTGGTCAAAAATGACCCCATAGGAAATGAATGGGAAATTGTAAAAAAATGAAGAAAAAAAAATTGTGAATGATATATATATTTTTTTTTTTGTTGTCATTTTTTAAAAGATTTTTTATAAGAAATAGTTTTTGAGATTGTTTCAACTATATATACAAATCCACCAAAAAAAAAAAAAAAAAAAAAAAAAATGTGTTCATAAACAGCTGGGAAATTCACATGCCTCTCCGTAGAGAGCTGTACATGCCATCTAGTGGTTACACCATGATTCTACGCTTTTTCTCTATACTGTAACCACGGTGCTAATTTTCTACAAATTTTTTTTTTTTTTTTTTTCTAAAGGCCTAGACTCTATATTAAACTAAAATACTGCATTAATATTTTTTTGGAAAAAATAATATATATATATAGAAAAATATATATACATTTCCATGGCAAAAATAACCATAAATATTGCATAAATATTAATAAATTCAATTAAATTGTCTCAAAAACTAAATTAAAAGAATAAATATTATAGAAGAAAATAAATTGCATTGGTTTACTGGGATGGAGAAAGTTTAATTTTTAGGTCACTTTTGACCGGGAAGAAAACAAGTGTGACTCCGAAACGAAGAGCACTGAGGGTTTAATTTGAAAACGGGTAGTTTTGGGTTTGAGTTCTGCATCATGCACTATGTGCAAAAGATG